AGATTGGCCGTACCGCGCAGGCCAAGGAGTGGGGGCAGACGAAGGGGCGCTGGCCACGCAAGTCGGTTGTGGCGATGCTCTCACTGCTGAAGAACGCTGAGGCAAACGCCATTGAGAAGGGTCTTGACCCCAACAAGATGGTCATCAAGCACGTGCAGGTGGATGAGGCTGCCCGTATGCGCCGCCGCACGTACCGTGCCCACGGCCGTATCACGCCGTACATGTGCAGTCCGTGCCATGTGCAGCTCTTCATGACACAGCCCCAGGAGCGCGTCCCTGTACCAAAGAGCCAGCCGAAGAAGTAGAGTGTTCTGATTGCCTGCCTTTGTGCACTTTATTTTTTTTATCTTTATTATTAGTCATTTTTTGTTTGCTTTTCTGTTTCGCTTTTCCCTTCCTCGGTGCATATAAGTTGTACATATGAACTTATTTCAACTCGAAACGTTTACATTGCTTCTTTTCCACAGCTCCTTGCGCTCTTTTTTTTGTTTTTGCCTTTTGGACCACTTTCTCTCGTTTTGGACGTTTGCATATGTGTCTGTGTGTGTATACTGACACACACACACACACACACACACACACACACACACACGCACACGCACACACACAATCTCTTGAAAGGATGCCGGAATGTTTTTTCGCTCTCTTATTGGGCGTTCCTGGCATGCTTCACAGACGACTGCAGACCGACTCGTAGTGTCTCAGCATCATCGTAGGCTGATTGACAGTCGTTACTGGGGCTGCACAACTCCGTCTAAAGCTGTTTCCGTGTTAGGCGTACTCGTTCGATCGGGTACGATCATAGACAAGCTGGACAAGGCCGCCTCCGAGGCCTTGAACGCAATGGGGCCTAGCATGACAAGGAACGAGCAGGCTCTTTTGGGCAAGTGGTCATCGTTGATGCGCTTGAAAGCCCCCGCAGATTCTTCCGCAGGTCCCTCCCACGCTGCTGCGTCGGAGATGGCGGATAAAGACGTTCACAAAAGCGTCGTGGTGTTGTATTCTCTTTTTATAAGAGATTCACAGATGGGAATACCGGTGGAAGAGAAATCCATAGTTTTTTCAACGGATTCAGTGCTTCAGTTAGACCCCATTGGGTCGCTAATGCTTTTAGAAATGATGCTTTCAACTTCCTTTCAACGGGGTGCTGCGTGGCGAAATGAAAACACTGCAGAGACACTCCTTGCTCGTCTTCGAACTCATGTGATCTACAGCAAGTTGATTGGATTTAAAGCCATTTGGTGGATGCTTGACATTCTCGGCGATAAGGAGTCCTTGCTGTGTGGAAGGCCGGCTGAAAGCGGTCGTCTCTTTAGGGCTTGTCTCAGACGTCTGCATGATATGCTACCCGAGTTGACAGCTGGTGAGTGTCTCTTGATATTCCCATTGTTACGAAACACGCTCTATGACAAACCGTTTATTATCTGTGCAGATATTATGAAACGCCTTGTGGCGTGTGACGTAGAGGAGTTGACTGTGGTACCAACCTCCGTCATACTCCATACATTGGAGTGCGGCGAGCTGGTTCCCCGACTGCGTCGTAGACTATATCAACTCCTTTTTGAGGACTACCGTGTGGGGGACCTCGGAAAGGGAGAGTGCCTGTTTCTTCTCTCGATCATGGCCACCTCACCACCTTTCGTTGATGAGGCTGAGCAGCCCAAGTATGAGAATGACAATGATTTTCTTCTTTATGAATCCCTGTTTGCGCAGCTCTATCTCAGTGCCAAAGCCATGAATAGCACCGAGTGTGTCACAGCCCTTGAGCACTTGGAAGTTTTGGCCCTCTCACAAGTTTCAGTGCCTGCCCCCTCTGACTTGTTGGAAAGACTTAAAAAAAGTTTATTTTGTGGAACAAAGCAAGCGTTGAAGCGACCCAATTTGGCGGCGCCAGAGCTAAACTGTGAGCTTGAGGCAATACGTCGCCTTGAAGGGGTTCTCAGAAGATGTGTTCTTCTTCCTTTTCTTTCCGACGATGCGGTGTTGATTGATAAACTTGCCACAAAAATTACTGGTCGTCTAGAGAGGCCTTTGGATGGAATTTTATTCTGAATATATATATATATATATGCAACGATACAAGAGGCTTGGTGCCCCTCGTTTTTTTTTGTTGTTGTTGTTGTTGAGTCGTTATTTGTTCCGAGCTATGCGCTTGGGAAGAAGAGTTGCACATGACCACTGACATTTACTGGGGAATGGGGGTTGCGTTTCGCCTTGTCACGCGCTTGACTGGAGGGCTTTGACTTTTTGCTCATCGCATCTACACTTCGTCCTGTCGTCGTTTGCTATGATTTCTCTTGAAAGGTTAACAAGGTTATCGTGGCGAGGTAGGTGACGAACAATGCAGGCATGTGCCACGTGGCTTCTGATGGCCGTGCTCTTTGCCGTTTGTGGGGAGTGCGCTGACTCGGTAGCTCTCATGTTCTCACGAGAGATAACTCTGCGCGGCGTGGGAGACGTACGGGTGAACTCGTCTTTTGATGGTGCGGCCGCCACCTATATTGACAGAGCTATTAAACCGAATCTGTTCCTGATCCATTCCTTCGCAGTTCCTCCAGATGTAGTTATTGTTGTTGGGGCCTGGTTGCTGGGGAGCCCGGAGGAGGTTGACACGTCGATGCAAAAGCTGAACGCCACCTTTAACGGTTGGTCAACCGCGCCTGACGCCAGCCTGGTTGCCAACTTGAACCAGTTGTCATTGATGGAGCTGGGAACACAGCCAGCCGGCATTGAGTTCAAAGACAATTGCAGTTATGGTGGGGAGAGCATTGATGTGAAAGCTCCGGGCTTTGGCTTTGACAATCTTACAATTTTCTTTACTATGCGCGTGAACCCCAGAGAGAACTTGGTCCAGAGCCTCTGCCAAATACTTTCAATACCCGATTGCTCTCTTATAGCACTGAACTCTGTTAGCGAGTTGGGCAGCGTGTATGTTGCGCAAGTGACAGTGACCTCGTCCAACAGAAACCTACTATTTATACAACTTATGAATCATCTTCGCTATGCCTCGGCGCTTTTCTCGGAGCACATTACCGCCATGACAGTTGGGGGCGTACAGGTGTACGCCACACCAAAGCTACCAGCTCTCACTTACAAGGGGGACACTGATACGTGCCTTTCAAGGTATTGGTATTTGATCTTTCTCATTTTGCTGCTTCCCTTGGCGCTCATTGCTGGACAACGCTTTAGATACATGGGGGCGAAATCGGGTGTGAAGTCTGTTCGAGCCATGGAGTGGGACATTCGTAGTGGCGTCCGCTATCAAGGCCGAATGCAGGCGGAGATGGGTGGTAGAGGTCAGCTCCCGCAGGCCGCCTTTTTTGGAGGTTTTCCTCCAGGGATGCATTACGGCGCTTATGCCCCGCATGACGCAACGTGGCAGAATACCCAATTGCAAAGACAGATGTCGCAACAAGGACCAAATGTGCATTACGACCCCCATGCTCTCTGGCAATACACGGGAGAAGACAATCGGCACCGCTACCCCAGTGTTAGAAGAAGTTAGATGGTCTTTGGGGGACTTCTTATCTCATTCAGTGCGCGACACATATGTTTGGGCTCTCACTGAGAAGGAAAATGCAAACGTGTGCGTGTCTTGAGGGAGGGGGGGGGGGGGGGAAGAGGAATGGTCTGTGCCTCTAGGTCTGTATCTTTTTGTTTGTTTGTTTGCTTGCTTTTTTTTGTTTTAAGCCAGCACCGGGCGTAGGTGGTGTGCGTCGGTTGTGGATGACATTTATGACGAAGCCATATTCTGCGTGTTGGTGTCTGTGGCTTCAAGCGAGACAAAAAAAAAAGGCACCAGCTTTTGCTTCTTTCTGTATTAGTAGACATGTTTCTCGTGTTACTTTTAACTTGGTGTGCCTACAGATGGAGAGGAAAAAAGGAAAAACAACAACAAAGTATTTTCATTTTGAGACCACTAGTG